CAGGCAGCCAGACAGGAAAGACGTTTAAAATAGAGATCTTATCCCAACTTGAATGACAAATAAAATGTTTTGACTATTTTCTCAGCCAGTACTAGAGGGTTTTATAGTTAGTATCTTGGCTAAAGTTCACTTGACATGTTGTTGGGAGATAGTGGCCAGCACATTTAGGACTACTTGTTTAAAGTTTTCAGTGCTTCATTAAAGATCCCCTACAGGTTAAGTGCTCATCCTAGTTTTACTGTTGAGTTTTCTATGGATGAGCCAGCCTTGGTGTGTTCCTTTTAATGTTTATGTAATCTAGTTTTGTAGACCAGCCCACAACTGAATCTGCTCTTAGGCAAATATTTTTGCCTGGCAATCTTGAAATTGTTTGAAAAAGCCCTATTAGTTTTCAGGCAGGGATTTGAGTGCTGATATTTCTGTCATTTATTATGTGATCCGTGTTCATAAGCACTTGACTATTTATTTTTGTTTTAATGAAAGTGTTTGTCCCTATGGTGCTGCATGTTGAGAAGACTGTCTTGAAGCTTTGCAGAGGGTAGGTAAGTCCCCAGCAGCAGAGGGATGTGCCCAAGGCAAGAAGGGAAGCTGGATAGAGCAGGGAGTTTGATTTGTGCTACACAAGTTTGATGGTGCTGCTGCAACTGCACCACAGCTTCTCTCTTGAATGTAGCATAAGGAGCTGAGAAAAAATGACGAAATGCATGTAATTAATATTAAGGTGATGCCCAGCCAGTAGTGGTACTTCTCTGTTGGTGCTGTTTTTGGTTTTTTTTGTTTGTTTGTTTGTTTTTTAACAGTCATTTCTAACGACTTTTTGGACAGGAATAGTGCATCTTGTCACTTGCTAAGATATGCTTTTCCCCTCTGCCACTGCAGTTCCACTTTTATACTTCTATTTTTTAGAATTTCTTTTTTTTGTTTTAATTGCTGATGAAACTTTAGATCTCTTAAAGCTGCAATTTTATCTGTGACTGATGTTCTTACTAAATAAGCATATGAAAGCAGAGGATCATTTTGTTGGAAGGGACATTTCTGCTTTCCCAGCACACTTCAACAAGTCCAAAGATGGAGAAGGTTCTCATGAAATAATAGTTAAAAAGTCACAGACTCTATATGTCATGTTTTTCTTCTTCCCTCGAAATTTTGTATGTTTTTTTTTTTATTTCTCAGTTTATTAATAAACCAGCTTTGACCTTGGTTGCTGTGGCTTGCAGAATGTCCTAACATCAGAGTTGTTAAGGATGTTACTTTGATCTCAAGTTAATAACTGCAGACATCCTGCAGACAGATCTATCCTAAACAATGCTGCACTTAGAAAGCTTCCTCCTATGTTTATAATGTTCATTTTTAGTGAGGTGCATAGTATTTGGAAAAAGTGAGTGCTGTTCATAGACATTATTTGATGAGCTGATGTTTGAACTAGTACTGCATAACGTCTCATGAAAGAAGTGTGAATTAGCAAATTTGATAAGGGAAGGGTAAAAATAATGTCAGAGGCAGATGCTTTGTATATTCATACATGTTTTGTGGGAAGAAGTTTTATTCCACTTGTGGGAGTCCTCCATATAGGTGTTATAGAATGTGACTGTCTTTGCTATTACTTAGTTTGAGTGTCATCTTTGGAGTTGAAAGTAATGCACTGAGCACATTTTTGGTTTTGAAATTATCAGGGAATTCTAATACTACAATCACAGGTAGTACACGTTGAAAATACTTCTATAGAATAAAAATATAACGCATCAGTCATTGGTAGTTATGATGAATTTAATAGTGAATGTTAGAATCATGAAAGTTAGGGAGCTTTTAGTCTCAGCTATGGTTTTGTTTTTTTCTCTAAGAGTACGTGACAGCAAAGTACTTAAGTACCAGTTGTTTTTCAACTCATTTGGTGAATTGCGGTGTAATTCATGGTTTTAGTAATTTGCTTGGCGATGATTCTACCTTTGACTCAATAATTAGATTTTATTGTATGTAAGAGTGTCAGACTAACTAAACAAAGATCCAATACTCTGCATGAGTGGGTCTTGACCTCACTTTCTAGTTCAGTCTCATACATTAAAGTACCTACTCATCAAGTAAAAGTAGCTTTTATTACTAAGTGGGACAACTGTATTTTCAAAACATTTTTGGACTTGCCCCTCCCACATCCTCCACCCCCATACCACTAAACAAATGTAGTGTATTATTTAACAACTAAAAAAAAAATGGTGGAGGGAGTTTTAAGTTTCTGAGTTGAGATATTGGACAGTAAGGCTATTTCTGGGTGGACACAGAGCAAGGACATGGACTGACACATGTGTGGTAGACTTGGCCATTTGCCAAGGTATTTTCAGAGTTCACACTGTTTAACTGTATCAGCTGGTGTGGAGATTCTACAGGTGGTGGCAAAGAAATAAGACTGTCCTTAGCACATTAAACCTTCAGGCTCTCCTTTTTGTAAATAAGAGCATGTACTAATACAGGTCACGTGTTGGTATTGGAATTCTTAGACAAATGGAATGAAAAGTTTCTGTGGAGTCCTTGCCTGCTTTAGAGAGAATGTTCTTTAAAATTGCTATTCTTACTATATACTAATGTGAGAAATAAAATTAAGCTGAAATCTGTACCAAAAATGGAATGGAACTTATAATGTAATATAGAATTTAAGGGTACCTTGTTTCTGCAGTGCTCTTATTGGATAGAGCATTTTTTATTGTTAGAAGATCCAGCTATTCTGTGTAAGACTGAAAGTGTGGGTAAAAATGCCTTATAAAGTGTTGACAATATTTTTCCATGCAAGCACAGTTTGTCACTTATTTTTAAGTAGACTTTAATTTCTTCACAGCAAAATTTAATCATGTTTTTAAAATGTTAGAATTGTGCAGATGGAATGTGTGTGTGGGGTGTTCTTCTGTGATACACCATCTATTTTAGCAGTAAACCTATGGTTTACTTCTGAAAAAATATTTTTTATAATTGCCTAGGCACATGGTCAATTTTGTAGAGCAGGCCAGGCATTACTACATCTTCCATATGTTGATTTCACTTATGAAGGCCTGCACAACTGTGCTCCACCTACAGTGCTAAGTTGACTTTTTCCTGTGCTCAGACTAGTGTATCCTCCGCAAGATCTGAACTTCAGTCCCTTTAAAATTAATTAGTGTTTGTATTGCCCTTTGAAAACGTAAAGGTTAATACAAATGCTAAATGTTGGTGATCTGTATTACACCTTGTGGTAATTGGAAGGATGTAAAAAGCATTTACCACTGTTTTCCACCTCTTTCAGTTGACTGCAGAAATCCTGTACTCTTGCCATCCATTTGTCTGCTATTTGTGGTAATTACCATACAGCTTTATGAATTGCAATTTTTCTAAACAACTTATTGTATTTAATTAAGGCACTATTTCTTTTCTCTTTCTTAAGAATGTCAAGCTGTCAGCAGAAGTAGAACCATTTATTCCTCAAAAGAAGGGTCCAGAAACACTGATGATCCCAATGGCGCTTCCTAATGACAGCGGAGGAATTAATGGCATGGAACCAACTCCTATCCCTAGCTACCTGATCACTTGCTATCCATTTGTGCAGGAAAACCAATCCAATAGGTAATAAGTGGTTGTGATCTTCATGCAAGATAATCTATTTTTAAATGAGTTTCAACTTTAGATAGACTTGAGAGGCATCATTGACTGTTGCCTGTATATTAGTTTTGTTCACTATGTGTAAACTTCTGAGACTTCATGGATAAAGATTAAGTTTCTCTGTCCACAATATTTATTTCCTTTGCTCTGATTTTCTCTATTCATATTTTTTTGCTGCTTTTCTTTCCCTTGCTGCAGAGGTCTGGTGCAAATCCCTCACAAAGTTACCTGCTGTGCTCTTGCATCTTCCAGAGCAGTCAAGAGATCTGTCTTTGAATCTCTGATGCGGAAGCAAGGCTCCAAGTGTCCAACTTGGATCCTGCCATGGCTAAACGCTATGAAGCTGACACTTAGTATTGTAGTTGACACTAGTTTTGTAGTTGTATGCAGTTTTCTTTGCACAATTTGTTATAATACATTGAGTTTAGGAACTTTTTATTCTAGCCAATATACATTGTTCACTGAATGGGCAACTGCAGTGTTGATTATTTTGTGTCAAAGGCATAAATAATTATTGCTGTTTAGTTTTGAAAAAAATGTACCCCATACCTGCTGCAGATCTAGAGAATTATCCTGGATGTTTAGCTTTCCTATTCTCTTTAATATTTGGGCCTCTGTGTCTTGTGTGTAGATGGTCTCCTGGTCTCTTGGGGGTTTCAAGAGAGAGAATTGGGTGCATAGTTTCCAAGGGGTTGTCTTGTAGTGTGTTGTATCACAAACACAGCACTGGAATTGTAATGGGTCTGTAGTACTTGTCAAAGAAATTCCTGCATTTTACTTCTAAGTTTAATGTTAGACATTTAATAAGTTTATCCAAGTGCAAGATCAATGGAGATACTTATTTTGCACTTAAATGTAATGTCAATTTAATTGGCATTTGTAAGAAGTCCTAATAAATTTATTAGTTTATTCAGTTACTAAAAGCCAGGAGATCGTGAAACAAATGAGTCATGGTTATTTGTTCAAGTTTGTTTTTAAGGGGGTGCTAGAGGTCTGAATTTCCTTGAGAGGTGAACTCACTGAGCAATTGTCTCTTTGATTTTTACAGACAGTTTCCATTATACAACAATGACATCAGATGGCAGCAACCCAACCCAAACCCTGCAGGACCATACCTTGCTTACCCTATAATATCTGCACAACCACCTGTTTCTACAGAATATACGTATTATCAGCTGATGCCAGCACCTTGTGCTCAGGTCATGGGTTTCTATCATCCTTTCCCTACCCCCTACTCTGCACCCTTTCAAACAGCAAATGCTGTAAATACAGTTACTACAGAATGCACTGAACGTCCTAACCCATCGGGCCAGGTCTTTCCATTATCCAGTCAGCGGAGCAGAAGCAGTAACAAGGGACCAGTCCTTCAAAAAGTAAGTCTGGTTTTCAGTAGGATAATTACAACTGTATAAAGAAAATATCTTTGCAAAGGAAGCATGTATCTCATTTGAGCAAGAACAGCTATGTCAGTAGTGTCAATGGAAGGAAGGGAGGGCTACAGAGATGTTAATTGGAGTGTAGCAAAACTCTGCCTACAGAGGTACTTCATTATAAAATACTTGGTGAGTTAATAAAGCCTGCAAGTGTACTATGGGAAGCTCCCTTCCACTGCCTCTGCTAGTTGGGTCTGAAATTAGAATTATTTTGTTAGAGAACAAAGGAATCATATCCATGCTTTCTTTACCTTTTTTGATACTTCTACATCGTAACAAACAGTTCATGCAGAAAATACTGTGAAGAGGTTGAGAAATCAGATATTTCTGTGAATATTTCCCTTAATCTCTTGTCCTTCAACATGTGACTTCTGTAGTGAGCATTAGAACTTTTAAATGCTTTGTTTGATTACAACTAGGAAGTCAAATCATGTGACTTACATGTATGTGTGGCTAATCTTTTAAAACAGCAACAACAGTTACAGACGCACATCAAAAATAAACGTCCTCCAGTGAAAAATGTTGCCACTCAAAAAGAGACTAGTTCATCAGGTCCTGAGAACAGATCAAAGATTGTTTTGTTGGTTGATGCATCACAGCAAACAGGTAATTTCTTTATTGTGTTCTGAGTGTACAAAATAACTAGTACTACATGTCAGTCACAGTCTTTACCCAAAGAAGATGGATCTGGTTTATGTGTGGCTTTTAGGAGAAATCTTTGCAGATCAAAAATATAATGAAGAAAAGGTGCTGATGGTTACAGAAACATAAATAACATGTCACATTGTGTTGCAATGATATGGTACTCGTGCAGAGACTTTGCCACTGTCAAAAAAAAAGACTTCTCTTGGAGAAGCTGATTGTTATTAATAGTTGGATCTAGAAATAATTTGTTTAAATTCAGTGTTGGTTTTAATTTTATTAAAAGGAAATTGTTCTTAAATGTGAAGACTTTGGCTTTTTCCATTTGTTTTTATGATGTGCAGATGTTTCATGTCTCGAGAATTCCTGTACAAGTGATTATATTTTTGTTTCTTGTAGATTTTCCTTCAGATATAGCTAATAAGTCACTTTCTGAGAGTGCCTCTACAATGCTTTGGAAATCAAAGGGCAGGCGCAGAAGAGCTTCTCACCCTGCTGCAGAGTCCTCTAGTGAACAGGGTGCAAGTGAAGCAGACATTGACAGTGACAGTGGCTATTGTAGTCCTAAGCATGGCAATAACCAGGCTGCAGCCATGGCTTCAAGAAATACAGATTCTGGTGCAATGAATGTATGTAAACATAACCAAATAACTAACTATATTTGTATCCTACAGACTGGTAAAAATAACTAAAAAGAAATGTTATTTTCTTTTTCAGGTTGCAGAAACGTCAGTAAATACAAGTAAGCATTGTCTTGTCTGGTGAGCTGTTAAAAATTATCTGCATTGCTTTTGTGTTTTTGCTTTACATTTTGCTAGGAACTCTCTCTATTTACTTCCATGCTACTCTTAACTGATCAGATTCTGAAGCTACATCTTTACTGTCATTTTCAGCACCTCTACCAAGACCCTGTTGCTTGTTGAATGAACAAGTGTATAAGTACCTATCACTAATGATTTATCAACAGCTGCCTTTCTTCAAAGGGTTAAAAAAGCTGGAGACTCCACTGGAAGCATTCAGATAAATCTGTGCTTCTGTTGTATTTTATCCTCAAGCTTCCTTACCCTGTGGTACTGTAGTTCATGCCTGGGTAGTAATAGAGCCAAAGAGTTCTCTTTTTATTTGAGAAGTAGTGATACTTTTTTAGAAGCTTTAAAGAAGTACTGTAACACGAACAAATATTTTGATTAGTCTGGTAGTAGTGGGTAACACTAGTGGCTGTTATTTGTGACTAGATGAAAATTATTATGGATGTGAACCTGAGATTTCCTTTATCTTACTGCTTCCTGATGATCAGTTGTTGACAATTTGAATGTCTGTCATCTGACTCTTCCATAAAGGCAATTCTGCTGGGTTCTAGAAATAGCTACAGAAGTAAATACTGCCAGAGAAGAATTAAACTTTCTCCGATAGCTTCATATTTATCGAAATTGTTCCTGGCTCTGGTTGTATGTGTATCATCATGACATTCTGTCCCACTAATTCATTTTTTTAATAGATGGCACTTCTCTTTTAGCTGGTATAGGTTGGAATAATGTAAATTCCCAGGCAACTCAGAAAAAACCTTGGGTTGAAAAAACTCAGGCATTTTCTAGGGGCGGAAGACAAGCTGAGCAAAGAAATACTTCACAGGTATGTTGTTAATGGTTCTAAATATAAGGATGTTTCCATGTAAACATCAGAAGAAAAAATCAGAAAAAAACTTCTTTACTGTAAGAGTGACAGAGCACTGGAACAGGCTGCCCAGAGAGGTTGTGGAGTCTCCTTCTCTGGAGACATTCAAAACCTGGCTGGACACGTTTCTATGTGGTGTGCTCAGGGTGATCCTGCTCTGGCAGGTGGGTTGGACTGGATGATCTTTCGAGGTCCCTTCCAACCACTAAGATTCTGTGATTCTATGACTGTTCTTGTAATATATGAAAATAAATAATTTGAAATGCACTATAAAATTAACGTACAAATTTAGTAAATGATAACTGTAAATGAAAAGTGTAGAAACTCAACCTGAGTTTCCAGTTGTAAATTTTTACCTTTTATATTTCTTGAGCTAACATATTTATATAAATATTTCTATTTTAATATATATATATATATAATTCATGTGCTTGGCAATCTTCTGCTTATAGGCTGTCCTTTGTATGTAGTATGTTTGTATGTATGCTAAGAAGAACATTTCACAAGTTAATTTATATAAGTAATGAAGACAGTGTGGGTTTAGAAAAGTTAGTTCAGTTTTTGATCCATTCACATTTCAGAAGAAAACAATCTCAAACTTCCTAAAGGAAGATTCTGATGTGATGGTGAACTAGACTCCTGTGTTTTTCCTCCTGTTGTCTTTGAAACTTTCTTTTTTAAATGTATATTAATATATAATATTATTAAGCATTTTATTATTAATAAATGAATTTAAATTGTTTTGTGGTAAAACTTGTAGAATGTTTCTGTGAAACTTCCTGCAAGTGGGACAGTATTTCTGTAATTAATACATGAGGAGAGGGTGGCCTTCCTAATTTTGGTAGTCTGGTTTTATTGAGGTGGAAGTGCAGAGGAGGACAGAGAAGGCTGAAACATCTGTCTTAATTTAAATGTAGGTTTTGCTTGAATTCAGTTATTGCAGACAAGAACAGTTAAGCTGGAAGTGGGAGCGTTATCGTAGATGTGCTATATGTGCAGATACATGAGAGCTACCTCACCCTGATTAGATTTTTAGGTGGAATTGTTAATTTATTTTTAATCTTCCATTTGGTATCCATGTGTTTAATATATGAAGAAGCTCATTGATGCTTGTATCTGGCTGTGTAGCTGTTCTGAATTTTTTTATAACCTGTAGTCAAATCAGAGGCGTTTCAAAGCCACTATTTGTGGTTTATGACATTGGGAAAGTAGGAGGATCCAGATTTCCTTTCATCCAGTCCTAGTTTGGACTCTAAATCTGGCATCTATTCTAGATATTTAAAAACAAAGCTGGCATAAACAGTTTTAAATGAGGTTTCCTCTGCCAAATTTACTATACCTCAAGGCAGAATTGTCCTAGAAATTTTTTTTTAAACTAAATTAGTACCAGGTCTGTAGGAAATATTCTTTAGAAATACGTTAGAATGAGCAATGCAGAATTTCAGATTTGAATCATGCTTTGCTCTTGGCCAACCAGTCTTGCACATAATGAAGAGAAGAATGTTTCTACCACTGTACTGGTCCTTAGAGAGCTCTGTGCCAGGGCATTGTCATAAAACACATATTGAAAAGGCAATAATTGCATTCAGAATTATTACATAGTGGGAGAAAGTTCTTTTGATCACGGTTGTAGACAGTTCCTCACAGTTCATGTCTGAGTTGTATAGAGTCACCTGCAACTCTTGTGGTCGTGTTTGGCCAAAGGTACCTATTTCTAAATTAGTAATGTAGAGGTTAATGTATATAGATACTGTATTTGGCTTGGGGGAGGGTAATAATCTGATACTGTATGTAGAAAAATGTTTATAGAGGTTTAAAAAAAGAAACAACAAATACATGAAAAAAAAAACCACAACAGAAAACAATCACCCCCACCCCCCAAAAAAACCCCACTCTGTGTCTTCTTAGTTGCTAACTAGCAGACAGGAGACTGGTGTTCTGCAATTTCAGTGTTGAAGCTGTGAGAGCACACAGGTAAGGCATTCAGGTCTGTTGTTTCCAGTCTGGTTTCAGATGCAGAGACCACAGCACATCTTCAGAAAGGAGGCAGAATGTGCAGAAACGACATGAAAAATCTCTCCCTACAAGCCAGTCAAGTAGAACAGAGCAGAGTCCTGAAGCTCTCTATTTTGAGGTAGGGTTGCATGAAAAGTGTTCCTGCCTTACAGTGCTGTTGGCTGTGTGTGGAATAAGTGATGTTCTCAAGAGGGAGATGTTGCACAACATCTGACTCCAAAAGGTGTACAACATAGTGCACTAGTATTTATATGATGTTTTCATTGTGCATATGGAAAGACTTGTATTTGGGTGTTGTGGAAATGGTAAGAATTTACAACTATCCATGGTTGACAAATAAGCAACTTTTTCTGTTCACTTGTGAATAAAACTTACTGTGTTCTCTTGTTTATCCCCCTTCTCCCCTAAATGTAATTTTTGTTTCTTTAGTATAAAACATTAATAATTTCTTCTCTTAAAAAAAAAGGGTATTTGGAAATGAGGTTACTTTTTTGTTAGTTTTTAATCATCTTCTATTTTAATAATCATCTATCTTATGTGGGATGTCAGGATTCAGTTCATTCTTCTAGCTTAATCTGTTGCAGTTGCTTTCATGGGACCTTTTGTTCCATTCTCTTTGTTTTTATTTCATGTATTGTTCAGGATGAAGATGAATTTCCAGAGCTAAATAGTGACAATGGCAGCAGCAAAAGTAGTAACATCCAGCAAAAGATTGCACCCAAAGTAGTAAGTAATTGTTTTGTTGTGAGAGACATTTTTAAGTTAAATTGTTGAGACTACTTAATTTGTGTTTTATAATGAATCTCTGCAATCAGTTAGTGGTGATTGAGTTGTTCTTAAGCATTTACATTACCAGTTTTGGATAGTAAAGAAATGACAAAGTGGTGTAGAGAACCCATTAAAAAAAAAAAAAGCTGGATTTTTATCTGCTAATTAGATTGTTAATAAGTGAAACTGTAAGATACCTGATACACACTTAGAACCATAGAATATCCCAAGTTGGAAGTAACTTACAGGGATCATCAAGTCCAACTCCAAACTTCTCCGTCTCACTGATGGTTTCTCTTGAGTTTCATGCTTCTTGAAGTCACATGCTAAATTTTGGGAGTACAGTAGATGAAACAGGATTTTTGAGATTAAGATTAGTTTTGAGGATTACCAAGCTTGCTTTGTGTTAATACCTAAACTACATGTTGGTTATTCTGTCTGACTCAAAGGGCTTGTATGCATACTGATGCTTTGATGCAGACTGTTCTAAAAATTGTTAAATCTGCAGTTTTTAAAAATAACTGTAGCTTGTGTAGTTGATTCTGAAATTAAAATAAAACATTATCGGCTTTAAGGCTCTAGACACAGTTGTTGGAAGGATGCTCTTTTATACCTGATCTGCTTAAAGACTTGGTTGCAGACCTGTACATAAAGACTGCTTAATCTTCTTGGCTGCTTTCCAGGAAAGTGAAGTCCTACATTAAGTCCTTGCAGGGGAGGAAACAAACACTCCTTTACTTAGCAATCAGTCTGGAAAACCTTCTGAAGCTGTAATTGGAGATAAATATAACTCTTTTCCCATACAAAAATTAAATATACACAGGTTTCTAGTTTTATTGACTTACTGTGTCATCTAGCTGTACTTAATAATTGGGAAGTCATACTGCTGTCCAAAGACATGGTTCATTTGGTTTCTGGAGTGCCAGTTTTACTAAGGTCTTTAATGGTGGTTTTTTGCATTTTGTTTAAAATCTTAGTTGGATGACTTACCAGAGAATTCTCCAATCAATATAGTTCAGACTCCAATTCCCATTACAACCTCTGTACCAAAGCGTGCAAAAAGTCAGAAGAAGAAGGCCTTGGCAGCAGCTCTTGCAACAGCTCAAGAGTATTCAGAGATAAGCATGGAACAGAAAAAACTCCAAGTGGGTAGTGCTGCCTTCTTGCCCCCAGTAGTTGGTAAAGAGGGGTATCAGTTAGCTGTTGCTCCTCTTTATTATATAATAGCATTATTTATTGATATTTATCAGTGTGTGATGTTTGTGTTGCAGGAAGCTTTGTCAAAAGCAGCTGGGAAGAAGAGCAAGACCCCTGTTCAATTGGATTTGGGTGACATGTTAGCAGCTCTTGAAAAGCAGCAGCAAGCAATGAAAGCTCGTCAGATCACCAACACCAGGCCTCTCTCATACACAGGTATTTCTAATCTGCTTGACTATTGCCTTAGTGACAATGTAAATGTGATTGATCTCAGCATCTTAAATATGCTTTTTTTTTTCCTGTTAACTTTTAGTTTTTTAATATAGTTTTCCCAGGTTTTTGTTACAACTTTTGTAATGCATTTCTGGAGACATTCACCTGTGCTGTCTTTCTGAGCTGCTGTATGCAGAGGTGAAAATCTGTGTAGAACTGAAGACAAACTTCTCTTTAATAGCCTACTATTGAAAACTCGGGATTCATGTCTTGAGAATCATTAAGTGCTGAAATGAATATGTGAAAAGAACTGTATTAGGTCAAGCCAAGCATTTACTACAGATATTGAAAAATTCTCTTTGAAAGCAGCTCAGAGAGGATACCTGTGACTATGATACAGAGGGATGCCTCTCCAGGATATTCTTTCTGCCTCTGTGAATTTTAGTTCTTTAGTTTTGTGCCCCACTCATAAATTTGTTAGCTTTCGTAGCCTTTGTATTACAAAGAGGCTGAGCAATCATTCCCTGCTTTGCTCCTTTATGATTCGTAGAGGCTTGTAATCTCTTTTCTTGTCTCAAGGGTCCTATTCAGTTATTCCATTGGGGAAGCATGTCTTTTCCAATAATCTGTATCACTTTCTCTCTACCTCCTTGTAGTCCTACTGTATCTTTTTGAAAATAAGGAAGATCAGACATTCACAGAATAACGAGTTCCATCATTAATCTATTCAATGGCTTAATGATGCTTTTTTGTCCTGTCTGTCTTGATCAACACAGCATTTTAAATTGGCTTTTTTAATGCTTGCTGCTGAAAACAGAACTGACACTTTTGTAGTCATCTATTACAACCCATGAATCTCATTCCTGAGCACTAGTATGTAGCCTGGAGCCCATCATTATGCACATAGTTACCATTTTCCTTCTTGTATATCGCTTCATTTACCTGCTTTGAGTTTCAGCTGTGTTCAAACATTAATTCAGGTTGGCAAAGTTCTAGCAAACAAAGCTCAGCAAAGAACAGTTGGTGTTTCCATTGGAGACTGCATCTGTTTTATTCTCTTTCTTCCACAAGTCACACTAAAAACTACATGCTGCGCTCTCATCTGTTTTGACGTGTCAACTAATTAAGTCTTTGACAACTAAAATCAATGTTTGAATAAATGTTTGCAACTTTTCTTACTATTATTATCTTACTAATTAACACTACATGTAGTCATTTAAGAGAGATGCCTTACCAGTATTAAAGTAATTCCTTTCCTGGAATCCATAGCTTTCTAAAACATGAGGCTAAGTTGAAGAAAGCTTAAAACCATCTGGAAGCAACAATATCTGATGATGTAATTTTCCTGTCATTATGAACTGTTTTTCCAAGGAAGGAAAATGTACTTTGAGAATTCATCAGTGGAAATTCTGAAAGCAGTATTGAAATAAAGCTGACATGTCTTTGGTTGAAACTAATATCTTGCTTGTATTTAGTTGGCAGTGCTGCTCCCTTTCATACCAAAGAATCTGTCAACAGAAAGTCCTTAACAAAGGGACAGCCATCTATGGGTTGCCTTAATCCTTTGGATTCAACTGCCCCAAAAGTGAAAAGAGGAAAAGAAAGAGAGATTGCAAAACTGAAGCGTCCTACAGCACTTAAAAAGGTAAGACATGTCACCCATCCACACTTATACTGAAGACAATATTAGTTGTTATGTTATACTTGAGAACCTGTGACCATGAGCATAGAGTGAGTCATGAGCTTCTGCCTCTAGTTCCTGTTACACTGGTGTTCCTGTCCTTTGGATGTAAGCATGTAACATGACTCTTCACACCCCCTGTAATAAACTGAAGGTGATACAAATTATCTTATTATGGATTGCAAGGATATTTTTAAAGTGTAAGCACTAGGCCATGTGGGAGAAATTGCAGTTTTTTCCATGTTGTTGATTCCTAGTTTGCAGTGCAATGTAGTGTGCTAACCTTATGTTTTAAAACTTTTTTTTGAGAGATTGATATAGAACTTGAAGTAGAAACACTATTTTTAATCGAGTAAACTTAGAAATAATTGGTTGTATGTAGATCCATGCACACAAGGTAGGTATGTCCACAGAATACAGTGTGTATGGAAATCAGAAGGTAAAATACAAAAAAAGCCTAGCTCTAAAAAGTGTGAAAGCCTTTTTTAAATAAGTGTAGCAGTCACGTTTACTCATGCACCACATTTCTTGTCAAGATTACTTTCTGATACAAACAGGTAGAATCTGGTAAAGCTGTGTTTGTATAAAGGTTGGCTTTGGCTAGGTTGCCTTTTAAAAAAAAAACAAAACACAACTTTTTCTGATTTATGCATTGTCTACTTCAGTTAAGGAAATTCACGGCTCTCTGTTCAGCAAAGTTTTCTAAACTCTCTTGTCAAGGCTTATTATACTAATACCAGTATAGCCATGACTACTTACCTTCCTTTTCTATTGAAAAAAGGATTCTAATTATTGTCATGGTGCTTCACAAAGGTGACTAGTATTCTTGCATAAGGTGTTTTTTACAGGGACGAGGAATTGTAAATGGGTGTTACACATCAAAAAGAAGCTGTGGAAGCACATAAACTGTTGAGAATATAATTTATGTAGAAGAGCATTGCCTGTACCATCTGTGCTGGAGTGAAACAGGTTGTGATCAAAGAGGAAACAAATAATTTCAGGGTTTTCTGTTTGCCATGAGCAAAACAAAATTTTCTGTATTGTTCAGTAAAACAATTTGTTTGTTATGGGTATCTCTCTAATTTTTAGATGCTGATAGTTGTTGGTTTTGTTCCTAGATTATTTTGAAAGAGAGAGAGGAGAAGAAAGGCCGTTTATCAGCTGACCATGGCCTGTTGGGATCTGATGAACAGAAAGAGGTTCATATAAACTTGACTGCTGATCAGTCTCAGGAGCTGGCCTCCCAAGAAGGTTGGTCTTTATTTCTCTAGCCCCCCTGCCCTCCCACCACAATTGTACTAATCTGCTTGTTTTAATATTTTGTCTATATTTATGCAACAGAATTTATTGATGTTTATCTTGTAACTTTTTTAATGTTATGAAACACCAGAAATCAGAACCCTCTTTTTCTGAAAAAAAAAGTCTGTTCCTCAGTAGTGGAAGGCTCAGTGCAGTATGAGTTCCAAGTACATAATCTCCATACAACCTTTTAATTACTTTCTCTTGAGCAAATAATCCAACACATAGCAGAGCTGATAGTATTTTTGATAAGTGGACAAAATGTGACCTGTGATTGGCCATGCCATGTTGATCACAGTGCTTTTTAATGATGAGAATTCTGAAAGTTTTCCAGATATAGAAGTTGAAAACTGTAAATAAGGTTTTCCAGTTGGCTGAACACTCTCTTAATCAGCTGCAGTGTCTGGACTCTCCAGACACTCTGGAGCAACAGCTCTGAGCAACTGGGAAACTCCCAACCAATTATCAGTGTCTATCACCTGTGGGGAGTTTGGCAGGGGTGGGGGAAGGAAGGTGTCTACCAAGATTTCAGATGTGCTGCTTAGAACTTTTCTTCTGCATGACTGACCTCACCTGACTGAAGATAAATGTGAAAATCTTAAATATCCTAGGAATAAGTTAGTTAAATATTATATATACAAACGGTAAACAGTTAGAAGAAGTTGTAGTACTTGGGCAGGTTTTCCTTTCTGTTCTGCCCATTTCCCAAACTAAGCTTTGGATATTTTTAATAAATATATATCGTTTGCCCAGCCCATGTTAACCATTGGATATCTGTTTGTTTTGGTCCCCTGCCTCCCCCAGTTACCCTCTGAGGGAAGAAACACGGAGTTGTCAGAATGTGATTTGGAAAAAGGAAGGGAGATGTGTAAGAAGTGTGATGCTGTTTCTTCGATGTGAAAGCATTTTTGCATCTTACAGTGTTTCAAAATTGTCTTTCAGAAACTGGACTGAGCATGCCTAGTGATACTTCACTTTCTCCAGCAAGTCAGAATTCTCCATACTGCATGACTCCAGTGTCACAAGGTTCACCTGCTAGTTCTGGAATAGGCAGCCCAATGGCATCTTCTGCAATAACGAAAATTCACAGCAAGAGATTCAGAGAGTAAGAGTTTTGCTTTATTAATATGAATTCAAGACCTGCACTTTTGAGTGTGAATAAGTTTAGTAGACTTAGGAGGAGTTTAATGAATATAAGCTCTTCTTTCATCTATAGAAGCTTGTGCAAGTATGTATTTTTTTTTGGCCATAGATGGTTTGCTACGTGTAGGTCTGTGTGTATATTCATGCAGGACTGCATATATAGTGCATGTACACGTGCACTTTGGATTTTCTTTTTGTTGCTGCTACAAATTAACTAGATAGAGGTGTCCTCCAAAAATAATTCTCAAGGAGAGCTACATGTACATTGGATGGGAAAGGAAGAATACTTTAATGAATGCTGAAAATACTGTAAGAGTCACTCTTACACATTACTGCTATTTATTAATGTATTTTTGTAGCCTACCAGATTAAGGAAACTAGTTGCTTGAGGCACTTATTGGAGTGTTTCTTTGTATTTTTAATATTCTTTTTGACCAAATTCTTGAGGCAAGGGATGTTACTGGCATTATAAATGTTCTGAGGATCAGCATGCAGTCTGATTTCTAAATCCTCTTAGTAATTCTAGCATTTAATAACTGTTCTGAGGAAGTAAAATTATTTTTATTTGGCAAAAAAAGGCTCAGTGAAATAGTGAAATTGATTATGTGCTATTCTAATATTTTGTTTTTTGAATTGACAGATACTGTAATCAGGTTCTAAGCAAAGAAATAGATGAGTGTGTGACTCTCTTACTGCAACAGCTTGTCAGCTTCCAGGAACGGGTTTATCAAAAGGATCCCATGAGAGCCAAAGCAAAGAGGAGACTTGTGATGGGGTTGCGTGAGGTTACTAAGCATATGAAACTAAACAAGATCAAGTGTGTAATCATATCTCCCAACTGCGAAAAAATCCAGTCAAAAGGTATAAATAATAAGTGGTGCACTTAACTGTTTACAGTTTTCTTGTGCTGACTAGAAGTGCTGATTAGCAAGGGTAGAAGCATTTTTTAGCTACTATGCATGATATAACACTTGTAGAATCAGTTGTGCAGTTGTCTCTCTTCTGCTCCATTCTGGAAGAAACTCATTCCCAAGGGGTGAAGAACTTAAAGAAAGATAGATATTCTAATACATACAATAGACCTAAGTTTTATTCCATTCAGTCTTTGTACCTGGAGTCCTGGGCTCTGAATGCCCTTAAGGAGGATTCCTTAAGAGCAGTGGGAATTGGTTAGTTAGCCAACCAGGAATGTGAACAAGGGCTTCCTGACACGTGAGAAGAGTAAAGCTCTGCACACCAAAAGAGCTGCGAAAAATGTTGGTTTAATGTGTGTGCAGGACTAAGAGACAGAATACCACCTTGATCTATACACTTTCACTATACTTGTAATGTGTACCTTGTTATCCTGTAGAACAAAGTAGCTGGTGATTGTGTGTATTGGGAGTTTTACTGCCTACTGACAGAATGGGGTAGCTGTATCTCACCATGCTATGATGCAACTGACAGGATACCTATTTAAAATGCTTTCTTCAAGGTGGACTAGATGAGGCTTTGTATAATGTAATAGCCATGGCACGGGAACAGGAAATTCCTTTTGTCTTTGCTCTTGGACGTAAAGCTCTTGGCCGTTGTGTGAACAAACTGGTTCCTGTCAGTGTGGTGGGTATCTTCAACTACTCAGGGGCTGAGGTGAGTAATTCCCTTCACAGAAATGGCTGGAGCAAACAGCCTTCTGGTTAAGAATTGATTGTAGTTAATTAACCCTTGTAGTTAAGAATTGATTTGTCATGAAGAGTACACCTGACTAACACGCATTTGATTATGGCCCTGACCTGATTTGTATTAGAGTGTTTTTCTTGAAACTCAGTGTTTACAGAAATGAATGAAGGTGTTGAAACACTTTGGTCCTAACATCTCTGTAGATTTCAAAAAGACTTAAATGCCACCTGAATTTCTCTGGAAGGTGTGAAATTGTAAGGAAAACAGTATCTTGAAGTAAATCTCCTCAATGTTGCATAAACATGGAGAGTGGTGTTTTTATTTAATACAGAGAGAACTAATTTTTTATTGAAATAAAGTATTTGGTGTTAATTAACTTAAGACTCACTATGTAATGTACCTTTGAGTAAAAGGAGTAGTTTAACATGAAATTTACTTGTAAAAACCACTGAGTGTAAAAACTGTTTTCATACTTAGGACCTATTCAATAAGCTGGTATCACTGACTGAAGAGGCCAGAAAAGCCTACAGAGATATGGTTGCTGCAATGGAACAGGAACAGGCAGAAGAAGCCTTGAAGAATGTCAAGAAGGCGCCTCATCACATGGGTCATTCTCGTAACCCCTCTGCAGCAAGTGCTATCTCATTCTGTAGTGTTATTTCTGAACCCATATCTGAAGTGAATGAGAAGGAGTATGGTAAGTATCTTAAAAATTACTTTTGTATTTAGAAGCTGGAATTTTCCAAATGCTGCTTATTGCAAAATGTAGCTAAAAATAGAACATTTCATAAATCAGAGGAAATGGCTTCTCCAGTTGTATTGAACTGGTACCAAACCCAGAATTGATAATATGATTGAAGGACCAATGACAGAGGGTAGGAACTAAATTATTGAGGTTTCTGAAGATAGGATGTGTAGCTTAAATTTTGGAACTTGAGATGGTAATGAATGATCATACTGCAAGCAAAAGGCAAATGTATCTGCTTGCTTAAGCCTGGATGACAGAGGGAATAAAAGGGAGAATTGGTGCACAGACTTGCAACTTTGTAATGTCTGTTTTAGGATACTGTAAAAAATCAAAGTTGTTCACTGTTCTTCCTACTGTCCCTCCCTTTCCACTCATCCTGTTTTTGCCATCCAAAATTTTTGAGCAAGCATAAATATATTTAGCTCCTATTGCTATTTATACTATTCTGAGATGTTGAGGAAAAATACTTTTATGTAGAAAGAATTAATGTTTCCCACTTAAACTTCTTTGTAAACTTATAGAAACAAACTGGAGAAATATGGTGGAAACATCTGATGGGTTAGAAACCTCTGAAAATGAGAGAGAATCCTCATGTAAGACTGTGGTACCAGAGAAAGCTGGGAATGGTCAGATGGAAAAAGCCACTCTGAAACAACCACATCTGGCTACAACTGGGACTACCTCAGCAATAAATCATGGAAAATCCACATCAGGTGACAAAGATGAGGTGAAACCAGATGACAATCTGGAATGGGCCTCACAGCAGAGTACAGAAACCGGATCACTGGATGGCAGCTGCCATCTTCTGAATTCCTCCATGACCAGTACCACCAGTACTCTGGTACCAGGAATGCTAGAAGAAGAGGAGGAGGAAGATGAAGATGATGATGAGGATTATGCCCATGAACCAATTTCTGTAGAGGTTCAGCTTAACAGCAGAATTGAATCTTGGGTTTCAGAGACCCAGAGAACTATGGAGACTCTTCAGCTTGGGAAGACCCTTAGTGGTGCCGAAGAAGACAATGAAGAACAAAGTGAAGAGGAAGAAGTAGAGACTTCTGAGCAGGCTGATCCAGTCACTGATGGTGAGGAATGGACAAATGATAAGCATGCAAGTAACAGTCAACATAAACCCACCATCTGCAGTTCTTTGAATAAAGACCACACAGATTCCATCTATATGCCATAAAAATAAGCAGGAACTCAGGAACTTTTTAGAAATTATTAAAACTAACTGTTGTAAAGGTTGCAGCCATTATTTCGTATGCTTCATCTCAACATTTTGCACTGTTAAACATTTAATATGTGTATTTAATTCACAACAATATTTTTGTAGCTGTCTGTTACTTGTTTGATTTAAAAACTAGCTTAGCTTTTGATCAGTATCTATTTCCCAGGATAAAAACCGTGTGGAATTTTTGTCAGTAAGTATTAATTTCATCTTTTGTAAGAGGAAATATCTTGTAACTGACCAGTTTTAAGCAAAATTCTTTTAGGATGTGACTGTTTAGCTAATTTTCAAACAGATAACCTACATTAAGACTGACAAATTGCCAGCCATTTACACTGGCGTGTCTGGCAGAAAACCATAACACCAGTGTATTTGGCCATGATTTTCTAGTTCTATCTTAAAATAAAAGTAAAATTTTGGTTCTCTTGAAAGAAAAGCTGGAAAACCCCATTTACAGTCTTAGTGGAAAGTAAATGGAGAAATCTGTGATTTTTATCCTAACATAGATGCAGCTTTTTAGTTGATTGCAGTAAATGCATTGCTAAAAAGCTGCTGATAGTTGAGATTATTACAGTAAACTCTAACAACTTGGATTCCAGAAAAACTTTAAACCAGAGGGATATAATTAATGCTTTGGGGTTTTTTACAAGGTGGAAATATTGCATTATAAAAAAACAACAGGAAAGAAAGCAAATTCCCCATGCTCTCCACAGTTGCTCTCTGCCAAACCACACTAAATGAATCATTAACCATAATCCCCATCCAGGGCTTCTGGTAAACTGATGACTTCCTCTTTCTCCTGTCACTTACCTCAGGAATGCTGTTTTGCATGTTGTCATCTACATAACATTGCAAAAAGCAAGATTAATCCTTTAAAAGCAAGTGTGAGTGATGTGGTGGGTCAGTGTGTCTGCATCATCTGCATGCTTTGATTCTGGCCACCCTTATGTTGAGTTCAGGATGTATCTTAACAATTCTGACTCAAAATGTGACTTTTTTTTGTCTGTTCTCACAGTGGTAGCAACTTTAGGAGTCAATCTCTAGAGTAGAAAAGGAAGTAGTTTTTCCAAGAAATGGGAAAGTGCCCTGCAGTGTGGGGAGGTATTTGTTTCTTGTACCTTTGAAGCACTCAAAAATATGCCCTCCCTGAAACATACATGTTCCTAGAGAATTGTTCCAAGTTTTGCTCTGAATATTGAAGCAAAACCCATTAACTGATGATGAATTTGTTTCACATGGAAGATGGAGTATGTGACTAAACCCTCCATGTAAGGAGTCAAGGAGTCTTTTTTTCCATGTTTGTCTTGTATTGGCAAGGGATGTACTGAAACTGCCAGCAGCAGGAGCTTCACTACAGGAGCAGCCAAAGAGTAACTCAAAAGCATAACACTTTAATAGCAACTGTATGTTTCTTTTAATTCCACTTTGTTTTTCTTGATCACTTGTATGAAAAATGCATTAAAATTCTCTGGTTAGGCTGAAAAACACAATAAATGGATAACTTAGGCACTTAGTCCACTCCTAGTAATATGGGACCAATGTTGATCATACTAGTGATGCTGGCATTTTAAGTTGCACTGGGAAAATAAGACTCCAGATTTGGAAGTCATCTACCCCTGGGGTTTTTGGATGCTAATGAGAATAATAGAAACTGTGTGTATTATGTAAATAATGCTTTGGTAGGTATAGGCATAGCAAATGCTATGTAGATAAGCAGTTTAGAGAGCTGCTAGGACAACTGGCTGTTCTGTCACGTTCTTAGTTCTTTAATGTAATCTTCCTAGATGTTAAACAGGCATTTTATAGGAAAACAGACTAAAGAATGATGCCTCCTGAATGTTAAACCTTTTACTGTGTGTATGGCAGATTTCTACAGTCTGTATGTTTTGAAAGAGTGTTTGCTTTAAGAAATGATAGGTGTTTGAACTGCTGACAAGCAAAACTTGCCCTTGGATGTGTAAGCACATGTCTTGAGGCCAGCTGAGAGCAGTGTGTACACTGAGGGCAAAACTTCACCAGGACATCACAAAACAAAGGGGTTTGTAGCTTTTCCTTTTGCTTTTTCAGTACCAGTGATTCAAATAACTTCTGATCTTGAAGTACTAACATCAAAGGCGCATCTTTTTATGTCTTTTCTGAACTTGGACTGTCATTTTAAACTTTTCTGACATTTGTATTAAAGAAGTCTTGTAATATTCAGCCCATTATTTAACTGCAGTTTTGCTACATGTTTAATAGAGTTCTTGAAGGTGATATAGCACTTCTTATATCTCTCAATTTGCCAGCAAATAAGGAACTAGTCTTTTTTAAATGGCCGATCACCCTTGAAGGAGCAAACTGAAACTGAGTGAAGGAAACTGGTTTTAGTGCTTCCTTTTTGATAAGCTGGGAATGAGCAATAACTGTGAGAGTGAAATTGCAAACCCTTTGGGAGTGATCTGTTTGCATCTAAAATTAGGGAAGTTCCTTGCCATTTGGAGCACTTGAGGAGAGTATCTCACTGTGGTAATTTTGATTCTGTTATCACCGGAATTTAAAAGGAAAGCATACAAATGGTTTACAATACCATGATTTTTTTTTAAGTAGATGAATTTCTATTTCAGTATAAAAGTATGCAGTTTGTTATACAGATTGTTACTGTCCCCAGGAGATGTTTCTGTAGTTACAGGTGTATAGATATTTTTGTTGTGAAAATGGTTATTCAGAAAACAAATATACTTTTCATAAGACATTCTTTATAGAAATTATTTCACCACTTAATATATCTGGTAAAAGTAAAAAATAATGTATCTGTGGTAGGGATCTTTTAAAACTGATAAAGGTGGCTATGTACACAACCTATTTATATAAATACTTTAGGTATCTCTGTCAAAAATAAAACATGAATTACAAATATGTAAAAGAAAATTCTGTAGAACTTTTGTCCTTAGTTGGACCAAGTGAAAATGTCTGAGTAAGGTTAAGGACCTCAACACATGCTTAAGAGCATTAGTTCACTGGCTTAAATTGGTGGCCTGTTTATCTGCTTAAGTTGTGTGCAGGTAGTTGTAGGATTGAAACTAAACAGTGACAGAGGGCATTGACCTGTGTTTTAAAAACTTGTTCTAGAAAATGTTCAGTAATGCACTTGGTGTTCTTCTGGTAAAGATATGTCTTTATGCTCATTTAGGTGGGTGGGTGCTTACTCCATGTGATTCTGTCCAGTTCTTTAACACAAGCTTAAATTTTAATAATGTTACTTTAAATACATATGTAAAAAAAAAAAGTATTGTTTGCAAAGCTGCTGTTTGCCGAAACTGTCATTAAGTATTTCCTGTGAAGTTGTGCCAACTATTGAAACTCTTGAGCTGATTTCATTGCTAGCCATTTAAAAATTAGACATGATGATTTGTTAAGGAAACAAAACCCAGCAGAAGAAGCCACAGAAACATGTACGGGGGGTTCTGCACACCCTGCCACACACAAGGAAATGTGAGAAGGTCTAACCCAAAACTTCCAGGCCAATGAATGGAAACACTGAAAGTAGAAACCCAGTTGGCACAGCCCACCTTCTAAATGTTCATAAATAGTTCATGTACTTTACTTTTAAATAGATTCTAATATGGAAAGCTGTTTAATCTTTAATGTCTAAAATTATAGTAATATTTAGGTTAAAGCAGTAGAAAAACAATTATAAAATACAATATGAAGGGGTTGGTTCCATTTCTTTTTTGCTGTATGAAGGATAATTGTTCTGTCTACCGTACCTTTTTGGAGTAATAACAGCTTTTTTGCACTATGTAAATACTAGTGGGGATTCTTGCATAACTAATAAAAATGATTGTAGAAATTTACGGCTTTGTTGCAGTGATGTGTTTGTTCACAACGACTTTATCTTGGGTTTCTGCTGCCCTGGCACTACCGGTGGAACAGGTCTGTGTCGCACCGTATTTGGCCACAGGGTGGAGAAGCCCCGTGGTGGCTCCTCACCTCTGGCTGCTGGTGCCTCGGGCCCCAGCTCAGCGCAGGGAGCTCAGCCCCTCCGGTCACCGACACTGGCTGGTCGCAGGCAGAGGCCGAACAAGCAGACAAAAGGAGCTGAGGACTTCTCACGTGATGGAGTCCAGGTCCCTGTTGTCACACACCATCTCAACAATGACCAGAAAAACAATTTAGGAAAATACCATTTTCAGAGACCAGGGGTCTGAACTGAGGTCCAGAAGACTGAGTTGGAAAGAACATTTACTTAAGAGCAAATGAGTAAGAATAACCACAGGCATTTCCACAAACTAGGATTTCTTGCATGCTGCAAATGAATGAGCATTTAAGTTGATCTGCCTTTATTGTTACACTGATGCATGAAGTCACCTTTGGAAAATAACAGAAAAGTTGTCAGCATGTTGTCCCTGTTCTCCAGTGACTCACTGGTAACTGCTCATGCTTCCGTGGCTCTAGTAACAGTGTCATTAACTGGTTTTGCAACTCCCACGTCTGACATATTTGTAGCAATTCAAAAAGGATACAGCTTCATCCTGTAATTTTGAATTTTCTATTTATGTGCTTTAACTTCGTGTTTCAATTCTGCTATTGCAGTTGTCTTCTCTTGAAAGTGCTTCTGTTATAACCGTTACTTTGTAGGTGCTATCACTTGCTGACAAAATTGTTCCTCACACCTGGGTTTTGCCTCAGTCTTCTCAACCTGATACAAGTTTTGGAAAAGTAGGTGGCACCGTGTGACTTGTGCTGTGGAAGTGACAAGAAAATTACTTACTAAAGCATTGCAAACTGAGTAAGTAACACCATAGGCAGCTTCTGGTGTTTGCTGCACACACACAAGAGCAACCACAAGCAAAAAAATGCTCCTGCTGTTGCTGCACTGAGGTTGTTACAAGCAGCACCAGCACCTCCCCTGCACTCAGAGCAGCTTGAGCTCCTGGGCACCAGGTTTGTGCTGACAGGGCTGGAGTTCATGGATCTGCTTGTCCCTAATGTGCAGAAAGACCCCAGCCAG